AATACATGATTATGTGAAGTGTGATGAATTCAATTGATGTATATATGTTATGCATTACTTAGTATTATATATTTCTATAATGATGTAAACTCTCATCCTTATGTTGAAATGATATTTTATACGGTATCACTCATGTATCGAAGATAGTGGTGCTTCTTGCAAGGATTTTTCGGAGGATCTAGTTATTGTTTTATCAGTTTATTAGGTAGTGAGTTATGCTCTGATCATGTAACATAGGGAAAATTTGAACTCATGTTTATTTTTAAGAAAGTTTTGTTATACTATCTTTTAATTATGTTGTATTTTGAGATTATGTGATGAGTGACCTTTAGTGTCTAATGTTTTATTATATAATTGTCATTATAGGATTTCAATTATCGGTATCATTATGAAAGAGAATTATTCTGATATGATATGCATATGTGTTAGTATATGGAACATGATTTTAAATGCGTGTTATGAGAATGACCGGTGTATTTGTGTTATTATTTTGAAGTACATGTGACGCACTCTTTGATATGCATGCTAATTTACTCTGGTTATGCCATATATTTGTCCGAGGATTTAGAGGGTGTTGTAGGCTGGAACCTTTCCAGCCAAGGGCGGCACCCGACTTGTCACGGTGGGAGGCTCTGAGACTCATCCCGTTGGTGTCTCTGCGGGGGAGAGCGTGAACGACTGTCTCGTCGTCGCGGGGATGGGCTACGAGATTCAGATTGTCGATGCCTTCTTGAGGGGGAGCATGATCGGTGGTCCTTCTCGAGCATTCCAATGCGTTCCTTCTGTTAGAAGATCATGTAGTTTTTATGGTTGATAGTTGCGAACAGGGCCACCATGGTAGGGTCGGGTTAGGAGGCACATGAATTTCTTGATATATTCCAGGATTCTCGAACTTCTGGACGGTGTTGTTGGCCACACCATGAGACGAGGAGGATGTGCTTAACCCATCCCTAGGGTCACCCTGTTCGTGACCAATTGTCTCATTGCGGTTGAGGTTGTCGTCGTCAGTGGAGGCATGGAAGACAATCTCGTTGGTGTTACCGTTGTTGTGTTGGTTGGCCATGATGATCAGTAGGTTTTAAAGATGAGTTTTCTTTGGTATTTAGAGTCAGATAAAGACGGGGGAGCAAAGAGTTCCCACAGATGGCGTCACTGATCTTACCGGGATCAGAAGAATCTTCAGTGGCCTGCAACACTCGAGTTTATGCGGTTATTAGAAAAATAGTGGGTGCATCTGCAAGATACTCTGATGCCAAAGTAAGGTTCATATTAAAATAGAGAAAGTACAAAATGTGAGAGTGAAAATATAATACTTGATTCTCTAGTGAAAAAGGGTATTTATAGTGCCCCCAACACTAGGGCAAGGTCTCCATTATGGGTTGAATCTTTAGGCCCATAATGGATGAGTGTTAGGATCTTACGTGGGTAGGAAAGACCAGCACGTGGTTTTCGTCCTGGATCAACTGCCCCATGATCTTCAGATGGTGGGAGACTCATTCTTCATGGAGGGCAGAACGACTCTGTGAGATATGGAGAGCATTCGACCACGTGCCCTTGGAGGAGAACATGGGAAAAGCACTCCCCAACGGTCATGACAGTGGGCCATCTCGTTAGGTCTTGAGGTAGCGTTGGATTGGGCCGTGCCCAACGGTGGACCAGCCACAAGCCCAGTCCAGAACAATATCTTTAAAAAAACTAACTATATTTTTTATAGGCCTAATACCTCTTTTGGTCCCTTAATTTTATTCAATATTTCGTTTTGGTCCTTTAAATAAAAAAATATTACATGGTAGTCTATTAACTTATATTCCTTTACATATTTTGGTCCGTGCAGTCAATTTTCGAAGAAAAAAAAAAGTTAAAAATTATCTTATTGGATAGGTATAATCTGAGCTGACTTTTGTAATTGATTTTTTAAATTCATTTTTATTTATTAAAAATTTGAATGTTTCTCTTCTCCCTTCTCCCTTCTCCCTAACTCTATTTTTCACTTTCTTTTCTCTGCATCTTCTCTTCTATTTCCTCGTTCTTCATTTTCATCTTCTTCATCTGTTTGTGGGTCGAAGATGAAGAGCGAAAATTCGAACCGATACGACATCAGAAACATTGTGGTGGTGGTTGTGCGAGTTCTCGCTCTTGTACTTTTTTCATTCTTCTCCTTCTCACTTTAGTTACTTTCTGCTTTGATTTCTTGCGATATTGTTGTTATTGTTTTGTGACTTGAAAAAGGTTGTAACGAAAATGACAGTCTTATGTTGTATTTGGTTTTTTTGACAGGTTGTGAGTTAATATTGTGTATGGTGAAAATTGGCTTATGTTAGAAAGTTTTTGTGTTATAAATGTTTCAGTGTTAGACCATTTACAATGGTTGAAAAACTCAACATCCACTTTTTCAACTCCCAACACTCCACATCATTTTCTCTTTCTTCCACCTAATAACTCAACACTCATTCAACTTTTACCCTCTCCAATGGTTTTTCACTCAACACCCTACCCCACCACTTTTTATTTTCATATTCTTATTTAAATTTTATTTTTATTTTTATGATTAGCAGAATTTGGTTAAATGTTGGGATTTAAATTTTACTTTTTATTTTCATATTCTTATTTAATTTTATTATTTTCATGTTGGGATTTTGGTTAAATAGAAAATTAGCAGAATTTTGAGTGTTAAAATGATTATTGGGATCCATTTCACTAAAAAAAGATACTTAACTTCAAAATAAACACTAATAATAAAATTAAGATAGTGCAAAACTTAGTTTTTTTTTCTGTGTCCAAATCAAATGAACCAAGTCTCTATTTATAGAGAAAAAAAAATCATGAATTTTGGTAAAAAAAATAAAAAAAAATTAATTTGCAACGAAATAATTGAGTTCAAAGTATTAAATGGATAAAAATCTGGTCAGCCAATCAAGCACAGCCACGTGGCAGCTTCAATTGTGTTGAGTTTTCTCAACACACACTCAACACCTCTCTCAACACTCATTGGAGGAGATTTTGCATGTTGAGTTCAAACTCAACATACCCATTACACATGGTCTTATGAGTAGCTTGCTGACTCATTTTACAAGATGATTTCTCTAGATAAATATCATAGTAAAAAATCACCTTTAGGGCGAGTTAATATAATATCTCTTGCATATTTTTGGTTAAAATTAAAGAGTCTTATCTAATATTGTAACTGCAGTTTCACAAGGTATGGTTCAGCTGAGAATTGCTATGTATATACTAAAGCCCACATTTTCGTTTCACAAGTGTTTTGGACAGGTTTCACGATTTGTTGTAGTTGAGTCTTTTTCATTATAAAATATTTTTTAATTTTGAGACTAAAGTGAAACCTCATTTAAAATTAAGGGATTCGAAGACTAATTATATTTCTTTATAAGTAGATTAATAGATAAAGTAACAATACTCCCACACAATTATAATATATATTAAATTCAAACGAGAATAAAAATGTTCAACTCAACAATATTAATATTTGTCAATTGAATCAGGACTATAATTCATCTTTTTTTAAATGTAACATAATTTAACTGATATATGATAGTTAGATTAAATGAATGCAGGCGGTTGGTGTAGATTCAATATAGCAATAATATTAATTTATATTTTGATATTAATATAAAAAAATTATTGATAAAAAAAGTATAATAATAATATTACCAATTAATAAATTCAATACTGCATTGCCGAAGTTACAGTTTATTTATAGAATAAAACCATGATTATCAACTTTTATTAAAAAAAACTACTCCATGCTATATACATATTTTATTTTATTAATGATTGAGATACTATTTGATCTTAAATATAGATAAAATAATGCGACTTTTTTATTCCAGCCGACACACCACTACCCTGCACCATTACCCTGCACATGCATGCACCTTTTTCCATTCATTCACACCTATCTAGATCATAAAATAACACACAACATTTTTTTATTGATAAATCTCCACCTTGTAATCCAAAATAAAACAAAAACATCATTAAAAATCCAAAAAATATAAAACTCTGCTCATATTCTCCTTCAGTATTCACCATATACCCTTTTTGATTCAATTTCTCTTTTGATCTTCATTCTCTATACTAAGCTCTCCTATTTTCTGTATGTTTCAGGAATGCTACTAAAGAGAATGTGGGACATGTTTCAGGTTCCACATTTTTGTACCAAATTTAAGTGCATGTGTGTTTAGATGTGTTTTTCAGACATTGACAGCTCTTTTCTTATCAATCATACAATCAGATTAATGCTGCCAGTTATGCCTTACCAATTTTCTTCTATAAATAAATCACATGTTTTTATCACATCATAATTTTTACTTGAGTAAATGACACGCTCGCATTAGTAGTCTCAGACACCAAACACGCATTCAGACGTCAACACAAAACATATGTTAGGTATCAGACACATTTTTTATTAAATGTGTTAAAGTAATACAGATATGTTATGTCAGATACTAGATACATGTTAGACATCCGATACGTCTTCTCTTCTTGTAAAAGTGTTAGCGCTTGTTAGGTTAAAAGTCTTGTAATGATTGAAGTAGAAGAAACACCAACCTCAAAAACAAATTTCAAAGGAGAAACACTTTTCCATTTCATAGACTTCACATAATTGTCAATAGATCCATGATTATTATAGTCTAGCTTGTGCTTTTAGAATGGTGAGAAGATTCTCTTTCTCATGTCATACTTGTACAACCATAGTATAAAATAAAATCTATTGATTCTCTACTTGAAAAACAATTTTTTATAACTCATTCTTGTCTTATTAACTGTTGGTATTAGCTACCAAAATTTACAATTTTAATCTCTGTCTATAGACAAGACATTTATTTCTTCAATTGAGATTTGGTATTCCATCAGTTTCTTGAAAAAGAAATAAACTTGTTAATTTTTCTTTCTTCAACTGGGTCTTAAGAGAAAAGCTAAAAAAATCAATTTGAGTATTAGAAGAGTGATGCATATTGAATCTAGCAAAAGAACAAAAAATGGCAAATCTAGTTCCTGGGGTGCTTCTGAAGTTAATGCAGCATATGAACACAGACATAAAAGTTGGTGGTGAACACAGATCATCACTTTTACAGGTTGTGAGTATTGTTCCTGCATTAGCAGGTGGAGATTTGTTTACAAATCAAGGCTTTTATGTTAAGGTTTCTGATTCATCACATGCTACTTATGTTTCTCTCCCTGATGAACATGATGATCTAATCCTTAGTGACAAGATTCAATTAGGACAGTTTGTTTTTGTTGATCGGTTAGAAGCGGCTTCGCCTGTTCCGATTCTTCGGGGTGTTAGGCCTGTTCCTGGTAGACATGCTTGTGTTGGGAGTCCTGAAGATATTGTTGCGACTAACTCACTTGGTTTTCTTAGCAATGGTGGTGAGGTTAAGGTTAAGAAGAATGGTGTTTGTTCAAAGTCCCCAATGAAGGTTTTGGAGAATCATCAACAACATTTGGATAAGAAATTGATGGTTTTTGGTAGATGTAAATCTCAGACAACAAAAGATTCTGTTGTTGATTTTGTGAAGAAGGAAAAGTTAGCAAGATTGAAGTCATTGAATTCAAGGACTACGGTTCCTTCTTCGCCTACTAGTTGCTATTCTATGCCGACTACTTTTGAGAAATTCTCTAATGGAGTAAAGAATCAAGCAAGTATCAATGGAGTGGATAGGCTGATTGCTAAGGTGGGAGTCGTGGAGACGGGAAAGGGTGTTCGTGGCGTTAGTCCTCTTGGGAAGAGAATTGCGGTTGGAAACTCGATTAGAAATTTGGTTCAAGGAATTGAGCTTGGTGCTAAGGCGCTGCGGAAAAGCTGGGAAGGGAACATGGAAGTTAAGAGTAAAGAGACATCCAAATCAAGGGCTTCTTCTAAGTTTGATTCTAAGCCTGATTTTCGTAGCACAGTTAAGTTTGATTCACAATTTGAGCTTGATTTATATATACTGATCAGAGTTTGTGAGACTGTTAAATAGAGCTTATGTCTATAAGTTCTTTTCAGCTTATTCCTATAAGCTTTCTAGAATAACTTATAAAAACAGCTTATAGCGTACATGAAACCGTTTTGATTTTATTGTATCTTGTTATAGAAGTAGCCTATACATAAGCACTTTTATGACTAACATGTATGCTATAAGCGCTTAATTAAGCTGTTTATCCAAACAATTATGTTTAACAATATTTACTTTATGCTGTTTCAGACTCCTAGGAAAAGTACATCAAGTGAAAAGTTTTCTTCTAAAGATTATGAGAGTAAGACACAAACACCAACCAAGTCCTCTAAGGTAGAGAACAAAATGCAAAAACCTATAAAGAAAGTTATTGGTGATGGAACTATTGAAGAGCAAGAAAAATCAAGTAAGCAAAGGAACTCTTTTGGAAAGAAATCATCAGAAGCCGGATTTCCTGGAAACTTGGTAAAGGTTTCGATAAATAGTAAAAAAGTGACTGATGCAAGTGTTCAATGGACTTCACTCCCTTCATCTATTGCAAAGCTTGGGAGGGTATACATATCCACTTATAACTCTTTTTTTTTTGGGATTTAGCTTATTTGACTTTTAGCTGAATCATTAGTACTCCATTGCCACTCGCAATTGACTGATTCTATGAATGTTTTGTTATTATTTTTTCTTATCTTGACAGGAAGTAATGAAGCACAGAGATACAGCACTGATGGCAGCAACAGAAGCTATGCAAGAAGCTGCTGCAGCTGAGAGTTTGCTGCAATGTCTTAGGTATGAATATACCGAATTTGAATAACTTCGGATCTTTGTGTTTCTCAATCTGCTTGAGATTTTGAACTTCCTCGCGTCATGATATAATTTGATTTATACTGATACCAATGATATAATGTTGATATTACAATTGATGAAATATGTGCTTATCCCTTGTTCGACACGATACTGAGATTATCACATCGTCACTAGTGATTATTTGAGGAATTAGAAGTAATTGAATGTAATCACACATTGAATATAACCATATAAGTTTTACCATCTTCCTCTTCCACTACTCGAGCTATTTGTGACGCTGTTCGGTATATTTCTTGTAGTGTATATGCAGAGCTAAGTAATTCTGCCAAGGAAATTAACCCTCAGTGTACAATCGATCAGTTTTTAACTCTTCACACTAGCCTGAATAGCGCACGGATGATTGCTGATTCGCTTTCTAAAACCATTCCAGAAGGTTCATCTTCATCTCCAGACAACGAAATGATCACGACAGAAGAAGAACTAAAACTCAAATCAGATAGACAAAAACTTGCAGCTTCTTGGGTCCAAGCTGCCTTATCCACCAATCTATCATCCTTTACTGTTTATAACCGAGAGCCTCGATCATCTAATGTTCAAGCTTCGAGTACAAGTAATTCTCAAAATCAGAAGAGTGTTCTCGGAAGTAAACCGGTTTTAGTCCTAGAAAATTCAAGAGAAGACGGGTCTTCAAAATCTCAAGGAAAAAGCCGTCCGACAGGAGCTAATTCCAAACAAGCCTTACCAGGAACGCCGCGCAAACAAAGCGAAGGATTAGCCAATGGGAAAAAGCAAATAGTCCAACCTCTTCCAGATTGGAGTAGAGGAAATGGACTTGACGAGGCGGTTAACTTAGCTGACACGCTACAATTGAAGTCGCGTGATTGGTTTTTGTTGTTTGTTGAGAAATTCTTGGACAGTGACAAAGACATTGGTTTATCAAACAATGGTCAGATAGCAGGTATGCTAACTCAACTAAAAAGTGTAAACGATTGGTTGGACGAGATAGGATCAAGCAAAAACGAAGGAGAATCGTGTCAGATACCGGTAGAGACAATTGATAGACTGAGGAAGAAGATATATGAATATCTTCTTACACATGTTGAATCTGCGGCCGCGGCACTTACTTGCGATCCACAGTCACAATCATCAGAGATTAAAGGAAAAAAGTGATACATGAAACTATGATTGAGTGAGTGCTAATTATTTATATAGGAAAGTAGCAAATGTCAATGTGAGGATTTTCTTTTCTTTTCCTTTTACAAAGTTATTGTTTTATTTCATGATATTTGTACAGTTTTTTGTTTTATATAATAATATATGATATTTATACAAATTGAAACAATTGTATAATGTTGGAATATGAACATTAAATTAAATGGTTCATTACTAAATCTGCATAACAAAACTCGCATATCTCGCATGCTACATCATAAAAAATAACTTATAAAAAAAATTATAATTTCTCATAATCTAATCAATGAGTAATGATCCTCTAAACTTCCTCATGATTTTCATTATCTAGAACAAAGTGCAACTTATCATTGATCCTAAAAGACCAGATGTGAAGTCTATGATGAAGTTTATTGTGTTCAACCCAGTTGTTTTTCTTCAAAAGATGATTCCAATTTTTCATAAGATTGTAAACACAAGTGGCCATGTTCCACTTCTTCAATAACATATCAAACTCTCTAAAGTAAGGATCCAATACAACAACTTCCAAACCAACAGGTCTTTTGTCTTCCTTTGTATCTAATGTCGCCTTCTCTATCTCAGTAAGAAAATCATATTTGATTTCTTTACATGGCATTGAAAGACGATTATTATATACGTTAAGATCCGTCTTGTACAATGTTTTGCACATAACGTACATGGCATTAGTACCATTCAAGTCTGTGATCCTGTTCCTTATATGAGCAGGCAATTCTGGCATCGGTGATGGCAGTGGCAATGGCGGCGGTGGTGGCAGTGGCAATGGCAATGCCAACAGTGGCGGTGGTGGAGGTAATGGTACTATTGCACCATTGGAGATACTGCCTTCATCACGTAAGTGATATTTTTTTTTCTCATTATTTATGATCTCTGTTAAAGAAAAAGAGGATTCAATTTCAGCTAAACTTGCTAATTCTTCTATCGCAAAGAACTCTGGAGCAATATTTGACAACACACTTTTTAAACCAAACTTAAAAAAAGGGTCGAAAGGATTATTTTTGTGGTTTTGTTCTGCCATGACTTTTATAACTTGCAGCAAAACTTTCTTTTAAGCTTTTCAATTCTTGTGACTATATCTATATATAGACATGCATTCTAAATATTGAATTCAAAAACTAAATAACAATGTTATCTTTTGAAATATTTGAATTAAAATTACTTTAGATTTGTTTAATGAAAATCTAAAGATTTAGTTTTTTTTTCCAGTTACGATAACCTAAAATATAAATAATATCATATATTACGTTGACTAATTGATAAAGATATTTAAAAATTTTGAAAAAAAAAATAGTTTGTTATGATATTCAGAAAAATATTTACATGAACTAACACATAACAAATGAATTTAAAAACGATTAATTATAATTTTTTTATTACTTAAAAAATAAAATAAATTCTTCTCTCTCATTCTTTATCACAATCTGATCTCGATTAAAAAATAAATTAAAATTTTTTTTCTTTCATTGTTCTCAAAAATACTCAATTTCCATACAAATATTTTTCGCCTATTTCTCTGAGAAAAAGAAAAAAGAAATAAGCTTTAATTATCGGTCATATATTGAAGATTTGAAAGAAAAAAATTTGATTTCCATAAAAAGTTTGTTTTCACAATTTTTTTTTAAAAAGAAAGATTTTTTACGTTAGACATTTTTTTTATATTAAATTAATAAGAAATCTGTACTATCGCACAAATCTCATCTTAATTTATATTATATGTTTATCAGATCATTATTTATAAAATATAAAATTAGTTTTTCAATTAATTGACATTCACATAATTACAAATATGTGATAATAATATACACCAATTTTTAAACATTGATATATATTTATAATAAATCGTATATTTGATTTTCTAACTTCAATTATATAAAACAATAATAAAAGAAAGATTTAAAAAATAGACATTAACTTGAACAGTTTACGACTGAGATCTCATAGATACATTCACATCTACTCCAGATGAGTTAACAACTCTGGTTGATTCTAAAAATTTATTAAACATATTTTAGATATTAGTTAATTTTTTCAAATCTAAAATGTATGAAAGCTCTCCGTCAAATTTTAGTTTTAAAAATTTCTTATTATATTATATTTATATTTTTTTACAACCTACAATGTATGACACAGTTACTCGAAAAATTTTAATTTTAAAACCTTCTTATTAGATCATATTTACAAATTTTATAAATATAAAATATATGACACTATCCAGTAAAAAATTAATAAACTATGTAAATATGCTCATACAAATTCAACATCATTTTCACGCTAATATTTCAGTTATATTAACAAATTTGAAACATCATTTTTCATTATTTGTTATAAATAATAATCTATCCATCTAAATGTTTCAAATTTTATTTTGTCAAATTAATAATAATGATATTGTAAATTAAATTAATCACGATTAGGATTTTACAATATTTTTATTGGATAATACTTTTTCTAATTAAATGTTCAATATATTTTCCAATTTAAGAAATAAATTAAAAAATTTGTTAACAATATTTTTACAATTAAACACAAATTTAAACTAAATTAATTTCATTATTTAAATCTTTAATTATTATTAGACATTTAAAATTAAATTAATATATTATTATCTATAGATTATTACTATTAAAAAATTAATTGAACCTCCAATTTCAAAAGAAAAACGAAAAATTCACTTGCAAAATCTTCGAACCTATAATTTAGTTCATTCTAAAGAAACTAAATAAATTTAAAAATCATAATTAACTTTTTTTAGGTTAGGAGTTTTTATTAATTTACTTCATTCTTTAATTAACATTTTCTCTTATTTCATAACTAATTTTTTCTTTCACACAGTTTCATGAACAAATCAACATGAACAAATCTCAATCATCCCTAATAAATCAAAATCTTCTTTCTAAATAAAGTGTATCTCAGAAAAATCAATTTTTTTCAAAAATCAAACTGAATTTTTTCCATTACAACAATTTAATACACCATATCAAACCGCAATTAAAATTTTCTCTCATTTATTTATACAAACAAATTTTACAATAAAATTTAAATTTAAAAAACTTTCTAAAAATTCTAAAAGAAAATTAAGAAACTTTAACAATCAAATTAAAAATATCTCTTCAACTCATCTGATTTAATGAATCAAAATCTACATTTCATAAAAAAGAAAGCAACAAAAAAAATCAGAAACAAATCTTTCACTTTTTTAACACAATCAAAAATAGATCTCAATAACAAATTCAATCCTAACATCTATCATTAGTCAATTACATTATTCTCCTCGACGCCATAAATTCTCTTAATAAATAGAGTACCAATCAAGTAAAATAATCATAAATTATAGAGTTTTCCTATTTAAGATTCAAGCTATACTTTACCCTCCATCCAAAAAATAACAAAAATGAAGATTAACCTACATTAATCAAATCAATTATTATTATTTATTTAATTCTTAATTCAAAAAAAAAAATTAAGAGCTATGAATGAGAAATTTCCAGAATTGAAAATTCCATTTCAACCTCAGACTCAACAACCACAGCAAGCCTTAGCAAAACAAAGCAATTCGGCTTACTACGAAAGTGGAGTTCTTCAATTCAACTCCATGAAATAGAAGAAAAAAACACGCTCTAAAATTGAATGAATAAAATAAATAAAATAAAAAACAAAATCTAAAAAGGAATAAAATCGCCATTGAAGAACATCAAAGAGAAATCAAAATTGAGCAAAAGAATAATGAACACTTGAATGCATATTTAAGCACGTGTGAGAACGAATTGCATGTGAAATGTGAAATTAAGAAACTTTTACAATCAAATTAAAAAAAAAGAAATTAAAAACTTTTCAACCACCAACGATTTTTTCCTCTGCTTCTGTTATGGAAAATTCATCAAAACTTATAATGAATTTCTACCAATCTTTATGAACAAGATTGATATCACTGTACAATAACAATGAAAAACAAAAGATGAATAAATAAAGTATTTTTTTGCAGAGTTTCTCTTTGTCCATAATTTGTGAAAACTTTACTATTCACTTACAATTGCAAATGGAGTATGTGAATACAATGAGTTAATTGACTTGATTACAAAATACATGTTACTCCATATTTATAGATTTAGGTTAGCTGGCTCCTAAACCAAAGTCTAAAACTATAAAAGTCCAAAATATTTATTTTGGAACTAAATCAAATCTATTTTATTTAGATCTAAAATCAAATTTGTGTGCAATATCTTCGACACACTATGTTTTGACATTTCCTTGTCTCTATGGAGCAAACTGCTTCGACACAAGGAATTACTCTTTCAACATACCACCTAATTCATTGTGTCTAAGCTATATACATTCATCATATCTCTTAGTCTTTAAAATACTTCGACCTGCACACCCTTTGTCATGATTCTGCAATCTGATTCTCAGTTTTACAGTGTTTCAAGTCATCTTTCCTTCTTCTACCTGCTCTCGAAGATAGTGGAACTTCATTTCAATGTGCTTGCTTAGCCCGTGATCTATCGGGTTCTTCATCAAATTGATAACTGACATATTATCGATCTTCATGGTAATTGCTCCATGATCTTTCCTTGTTATCTCTTCGACCAAGTTCACCATTCGAGTTGCTCATATCTCTTAGTCTTCGAAATACTTCGACCTGCACACCCTTTGTCATGATTCTGCAATATGATTCTCAGTTTTGCAGTGTTTCAAGTCATCTTCCCTTCTTCTACATGCTCTCGAAGATAGTGGAACTTCATTTCAATGTGCTTGCTTAGCCCATGAGCTATCGGGTTCTTCACCAAATTGATAACTAACATATTATCGATCTTCATGGTAATTTCTCCATGATCTTTCCTTGTTATCTCTTCGACCAAGTTCACCATTCGAGTTGCTTGACATGCACAAAGAGAATCAGCTATGTATTCTGCTTCGCACGATGATAATGTCACTACTGATTTCTTTCTCGAACTCCAAGCAACTGATGCACTACCTAACATAAACACATAACCTGTTGTGGACTTTTGATCCTCAGCATCACTACACCAACTCGAATCAGTGTACCCTACTAACTTGCATTCTTTTCATTTACCATCCGTAAAAACAAAATATCATAGTCGAGAGTTCCTTTGAGATGCCTTAGTATCCTCTTTGTCGCTGCTAGATGTGATACCTTTGACTTCTGCATGAATCTACTTACCATACCCATATTGTATGCTAATTCAGGCCTCATATGACAAAAGTATCTTAATGACTCAATAATTCTTCTATATTGGGTTGGGTCAACATCATCTTCTTTTGCATCTTTCGACAGTTGCAGTCTTGTTTTTGTAGGTATTAAAGTCGAGTTGCATTCTTCCATCTCAAATCTCTCGAGAATTTCTCCTACACATATTCTTGCAGTTTATATGCAGAGCTAAGTAATTCTGCCAAGGAAATTAACCCTTAGCATACAATCGATCAGTTTTTAACTCTTCACACTAGCCTGAATAGCGCACAAATGATTGCTGATTCGCTTTCTAAAACCATTCCAGAAGGTTCATCTTCATCTCCAGACAACGAAATGATCACGACAGAAGAAGAATTAAAACTCAAATCAGATAGACAAAAACTTGCAGCTTCTTGGGTCCAAGCTGCCTTATCCACCAATCTATCATCCTTTACTGTTTATAACCGAGAGCCTCGATCATCTAATGTTCAAGCTTCGAGTACAAGTAATTCTCAAAATCAAAAGAGTGTTCTCGGAAGTAAACCGGTTTTAGTCCTAGAAAATTCAAGAGAAGACGCGTCTTCAAAATCTCAAGGAAAAAGCCGTGTGACAGGAGCTAATTCCAAACAAGTCTTACCAGGAACGCCGCGCAAACAAAGCGAAGGATTAGCCAATGGGAAAAAGCAAATAGTCCAACCTCTTCCATATTGGATTAGAGGAAATGCACTTGACGAGGCGGTTAACTTAGCTGACACGCTACAATTGAAGTCGCGTGATTGGTTTTTGTTGTTTGTTGAGAAATTCTTGGACAGTGACAGAGACATTGGTTTATCAAACAATGGTCAGATAGCAGGTATGCTAACTCAACTAAAAAGCGTAAACGATTGGTTAGACGAGATAGGATCAAGCAAAAACGAAGGAGAATCGTGTCAGATACCGGTAGAGACAATTGATAGACTGAGGAAGAAGATATATGAATATCTTCTTACACATGTTGAATCTGCGGCCGCGACACTTACTTGCGATCCACAGTCACAATCATCAGAGATTAAAGGAAAAAAGTGATACATGAAACTATGATTGAGTGAGTGCTAATTATTTATATAGGAAAGTAGCAAATGTCAATGTGAGGATTTTCTTTTCTTTTCCTTTTACAAAGTTATTGTTTTATTTCATGATATTTGTACAGTTTTTTATTTTATATAATAATATATGAAATTTATACAAATTGAAACAACTGTATAATGTTGGAATATGAACATTAAATTAAATGGTTCATTACTAAATCTGCATAACAAAACTGGCATATCTCGCATGCTACATCATAAAAAATAACATAAAAAATAAATAAATTGAAATAAATTATAATTTCTCATAATCTAATCAATGAGTAATGATCCTCTAAACTTCCTCATGATTTTCATTATCTAGAACAAAGTGCAACTTATCATTGATCCTAAAAGACCAGATGTGAAGTCTATGATGAAGTTTATTGTGTTCAACTCAGTTGTTTTTCTTCAAAAGATGATTCCAATTTTTTATAAGATTGTAAACACAAGTGGCCATGTTCCACTTCTTCAATAACATATCAAACTCTCTAAAGTAAGGATCCAATACAACAACTTCCAAACCAACAGGTCTTTTATCTTCCTTTATATCTAATGTTGCCTTCTCTATCTCAGTAAGAAAATCATATTTGATTTCTTTACATGGCATTGAAAGACGATTATTATATACGTTAAGATCCGTCTTGTACAATGTTTTGCACATAACGTACATGGCATTAGTACCATTCAAGTCTGTGATCTTGTTCCTTATATGAGCAGGCAATTTTGGCATCGCTGGTGGCAGTGGAAATGGCAGCGGTGGTGGCAGTGGTAATGGAAATGCCAAGAGTGGCGGTGGCGGTGGTAATGGTACTATTGCACCATTAGAGATACTGCCTTCATCACGTAAGTGATATTTTTTTTCTCATTATTTATGATCTCTGTTAAAGAAAAAAAGGATTCAATTTCAGCTAAACTTGCTAATTCTTCTATCGCAAAGAACTCTGGAGCAATATTTGACAACACACTTTTTAAACCAAACTTAAAAAAAGGGTCGAAAGGATTATTTTTGTGGTTTTGTTCTGCCATGACTTTTATAACTTGCGGCAAAACTTTCTTTTAAGCTTTTCAATTCTTGTGACTATATCTACATATAGACACGCATTCTAAATATTGAATTCAAAAACTAAATAACAATCTTATCTTTTGAAATATTTGAATTAAAATTACTTTAGATTTTGATCTGACCTGATCAGAAATGGACCGTCACGGCTGGCTCCGAGCTGAGAGCTTCTTGAAGGAGATGGGGGGGGGGGGTACCTGCAAGGCACTCCGATGCTGAAGTAAGTAGAAGCACGAGCAGGCAATAATAAGTGTATGGGTAGAATGATGAATACCTGACCCTCTGGAAACAGAGGGTATTTATAGCCCCCAGCGCTGGGCCAAGGTTCCTTCATTGGGCCGGGCAGGTTTGGCCCAATGGAGGAACTGCCAGGTTCTACGTGCGTAGTGGGGACCCGCACGTGGTCCCCTTCCTGGATGTTCTGCGTGAAGTGCGGGCGGACGGAGACGCGGTCTTTTCGGGGCCTCGTTGGGAGTGCAGTGGACTGAGTCTGCCCTAGTTGGGGTGCTCGAGGTGATGTCGAGCTGGACAGCAGGATGTCGAGCTGGAGGTGTAGAGGTCGAGCACGTGACCTCAGGGAGCACGTCGGGCACGACTGTGACCCTTTGGTCGGCGTGGTCCTCAGCAAGTCCATTTGGATTGGGCCTTAGCAATGCTTTTGGGCCTGTCGGGCCCAGTCAAGAACAGGAGCCCCCCAAGTCGTGGTTCCCTTGTTAGGAGCCAGGGCTTGAACTCAGGTCGTTTCCGCTTCGGGGTCTCGCGCCCGGGACAGAGATGCAGGCCCTCGAGGGCCTCTCCGTGCCGTGCTCGGAGACATCTTTCGTGGTGGATGCTCGGAGGATCCTCACCGACGCGTGTCTGTTGAGCACGCGAGGTATCTTTCAGGAACTGTGCCACCACCCTATGATGATAGGGTCATCATTGCGTTGGGAGCAGTGCGTCGAGGAGAGAAACTTCGTGGTTGCCCGAGGTGACGTTTGGTATTCCACGTCATCACTATAAATAGGAACCTTGGGCCCCATAACACGTTTCTACTCTTTGCGCTCCTACTGCTGCTGTTCTTCCAGATTTTTCATAGCTGCGATCTTCTGTTACAGATTCTTTTTCTCCGCAGCCGAATCCACCTTTTGATTCCAAGTAAGTGACTTATCTTCTTTATTTTCCTGTTGTAATGCATGATTTTCAGCGTTTGTAGAAGTTTTAGGGACTGTGCGCGTGGGATTAGCCCGGTAAACTCATGCTTAGCTCGACATATTCATGCTTAGGACCGGCAAACACATGCTCGTGGCCGGTAGATTCATAGTTTTAGGTAATAATCAGCAGCGCTGCCCGGGGTCTTCATGGTCCAGGGCGCCTGATTCATGATCGCGCCCGGTATGTTCATGGTCCTGGCCGTAGGTCTCATGATGTTGCTCGCCATGTTCATACCTTGGGTCGACATGTTGGAGAGTGGCCGCGTAGTCGGTTTGGAGAAGGACACATCGAGTTTTCGGGATGTCGGGGAGGCGACTACTTGTTGCAAACTCTTTTGTGGTCGTGCATGGGACGACGTGGTTTGTCGTGCACTACACTCGGTCTGTTAAGTCGAGCGTACAGTTTCGTGCCCAATTGACTGGTTTCCCGTGCTCTGCAAGTAACCATGGCGGACGAGCCGTGCTCCTCTGGACGCCACGAACATGAGGAACAAAGTGCCGATGAGGCGGTGAGCTTGATTGATACTGTCGACGACCCTTTGCTGGATTGGGTGGGCGCCGAGCCCCGAGGAATCGCGTCGATATATAGCCGGCGTGACCGAAATCCATATGCTGTCCTCGAAGCGGGTCAGGGCCAGCCTGATTTCCAAAAGAATTTCGTTGTCATGCGTCCGACCTCCCGTGCCCGGATCTGCTCGGTGTACCCAGAGTATAGCTTCCCGATGTACGAGATCAGGTTGAAAGATCTTGGGCTGCAGCTGCCCTTCAGTGACTTTCAGACCGGGGTCTTCACCCATCTGGAGTTGGCCCCGTCGCAGCTACACCCGAACTCACTCGCCTTTATCCAGGCGTTTGAGCTGACATGTCGCTTTCTGAGGATCGGGGCGACCATATCGCTCTTCTTTAGAATTTTTCATCTGCAGCGCCAGTCCCGAGGAGGGAAACACAGCTGGGTCTCCTTAAAACAGTCGAGGAGACTATTCAAAATTTACATGGACTCCGTGAGGGGTTTTAAAGACAAGTGGTATGTCGTGCGGCCAGTTACCACATCTGCTTTAGGATCCCTGTACGAGGAGGAGGCGCCCATAAGCGATGATGACGGGGAGGCGGTCTTAGGCAACGATGGGTATCCCGTGATGGCCCGTACAGCCAAGTTCCCTGTGCATTGGATGTTCAGGCACTACGAGCACGGGACTAGATACTACCATACTGCTGCCGGGGACATGTGTTCGGAGGACGAGGAGGCGTACGCCACTCTTTGTCGGTTCGTCGACAGCTTCCACCCCGCCCGGTGGGCCACGAGGGAAGGGGAAGATGTCTTGGATGCAGAGGGTTAACCGACATTTGAGTCCCGGCCGATTGATACTAAGGCACTCGTGGAGTGTCAGACGTTCAGGCAGGCTGCTCGTCTGCTAGGTCGTTTATTGCTTGAATTTCTTTGCTCGTCATTTATTTATGAACTTGCTCGACACTAACCCGTCTTTTATTTTGTGCAGGCTCGATGGCCGGTCGAAGGGAAAGACTTTTGAAGTTGTCTTGCGACCATAAGCGAGGCAGGAGGGTCGTGAAGGCTCCCCAGGCGACGAGGATGGGCCCTCCACATAGTCCGGGCGCTCCTCAGGTGGTGAGGGTGGATTCGTCGCCCAGCTCGGGGGCCGCGTCGGACGGGATCCCAGAGGTTCAAGAGGTCGATCCTAATGTCGACCTGATACAAAGAAAGAGGACCCGGGTGGAAAGCGGTCCGGCTGTCAGCGAGGACACCAGCACCGTCAAGTCTTTCGGGTTTCCCCCTTGTTTCAAAGAGGAGGGTTTCTTCGAGAGATTCCCTCTGTCAGTGGTTGCCGACGAGGCTGAGACTATCAAAAGGATGAGTAAGGAGGATCGGAAGAGGCATCTGACCGCCAGCATGGACGGGCTGGTGAAAATGGTCGAAATGGCCCTGGTGTTGTCCGAGGAAGGGGGGGATCCTGTCCGTATTGAAGAACTTCAGCAGGAGAAAGCGGCTCTTACCTCGAGCTCGCGGAAGTTGAAGACTGCCCTGGAACGCTCCGAGGAGATGTTCCGCGAGCAGACAGTGCTATTGGATGCTGAGAGGGAGATGCTGGTCCTAGAGAAGGAAAGGTCGGGGAAGCTGGCCGAGGAGGGAGAGTTTCTCTGTGCGGACAGGAATCGTCTGGAGACTGACATCGGGCGCTTGACCCAACAAATCGAGGACATGAGAGTCGCCATGCTTCCTGCCGAGGACGAGCCGGAGGACATAGCGGCTTTGAAGAGTCGATCGGAGTTGGTCGCCCATATCCGGCTACTCGAGGCAGATTGCGTCGGTGCTCTGGAGGAGGGGTTCGACTCCGCAGTCGGCCAACTTTCCTTGTTAAACCCAGGTTTGGTCACTGAGGGGACGGGCCACACACATCAGATCGTGGATGGCGTGATCGTGCCCCCGCCCGACTCTCCAGTTGTCGATAATGATGGTTCTGGGGAAGCCTGATTGTAGGATAGCGGGCCTGCGTGCGTTTGACATTTGTATTTTTTTTTTGGGCCTGCGTGCCCGTCGGTTGTATGTTATGAACATCGTCGGCCTTCTTGGTCGGTTTATAATTGTTTGCTTTGTCGCCTTCGAGCATTTTTATTTGAATGTGCTGTTTTACATTTGAATGTTTTGCCCGTGTTTGAAATCTTATATATTTGCATAAAATTTAGCCT